GTCAGAAGACAGAAGCACACATTGCAGACTACATAATGTATCATCAGCTAAATTCAGGTCCAAAACTTTACAATTTGACTTTGTTTGACCATAGCTTTAACGGAACGGATCAATTCTTGGAATTTAATCTATAACATTTCACAAAAATATTCCTAGAATTTGAGCCATTTCATTAAAATCTCTCACTCATTACATAAATTTCACAAGATTAATCATTTTCAAATTTCAGAAAAGTTCCAAATGCAAATGTTATAATAATACACTGGCTACATTAAATTATATACAGTAAATGAAACATACAATAATATTAATCTGTATCCAGATGCAATTTCAGGAATGGTACCTGCTGGCATTCAGATGACATTTCTAAGTGGAATTGGTTTGAGAATTTTTGTCAATGCTGTTCTTCCCCATGCTGATTGATTAATTACAGACTTTGTTTCATAAACCTCATGCTTTCAACTAGCAAAATTAGGATACATTAGGCCCTACCTCGTCTGCCAAAATGTAATATGCACCCATAATGCAGGAATTTTTAACCTATTTCTTGATTGCTGAGACACTGTATAAAAGCTACATTCAGATTCTAATGGACCAAAACACGCTTAATCTCTTGTACCTGTTAAAGCATAAAATGACTAATGTCTTGTCTTGTGAGGTTCCTGAAAACAAGCACCATATTTGCAGGAACTGAATACAGATTAATAGTTATACTCTAATCAACTACATGATGTTATATTTTGATTAACAAACCTGCAGTATGATCATACTTTGTTTACAAATACAGCTATATATCATCTCCTGTCAACAAAAACATTAAAATATCCTTTTAAAGTGTGACCACAAGTAAACAAAAATATTAGACAAAAACTAAACCTTAATATTGATGAATGTACAAAGCTAATTAATGAAAAATGTAAACTGATGACTATGTCCTATAATTAGTTTGGACATCAAAGACAAAAGCATTGAGTATTATATATCTCAACTACAATAGCCACTACTATAATGCTTAAAGCATAACAATTATATTTACAATTAGAGCAAAATTTCATCTATGGCCTAATACCTTTGATTTGCCTTTGATTTTTCTTAACTTAGTCACTTAGTGACCAATATTACAGACAGCTATTTGTTGAAATACTGCATTTAATGTATAAGATCATTCAAAAGATCTTTTTTAACCTTGAGCACTCTCCAGAGTTAAATGGTCATCTTTCCTATACCACCATGCATTTAAATTGCCAATGTTTCACCAATGCAGATAAATTCAACAAATCATGAAATTAAGAGTTTTGAAATCTAGTAAAAAATGTTAAAATGATAAAAATGAATGATTCTTTGGTAGTAAAAAAAACGTAATACCAACAATTTGTGCCTTATTAAACATAAGTTGTACCAAAATATATAGTTTAATAATAGTTAGATAAAAGTTCTAAATTGAGCTAAATTGTCTGAAATATTAGTTCAACAAAAATTGTTAAGACATAACTATGAATGAGCCAAAATGTTTGATACCTTTAAACTGAATAAGATTGTTTGATTTGTAAGGTTATATATGTATGACAAGAATAATTCCATAGTTTTACTGCTTGAAGTCCTAATTCATATTCTTGGCTTAACAATGTTTCTTCCGATACTGAAACCCCTACATTTCCTATTTGAATTTGTGACCAATTGAATTTCAAGCCCATAGCATATGAGCCAATTTCTTTGAAAGGTTGGGATTCCAGATGATGAAGACTTTTGGACAGTTTGGGCCTGTTTCTAAAAAATTTAACTTCAATTACGACGTCAAGAGAATACAACAGAATTCAAAATTAGTCTTAATGATTGACTACCAAATGACCAAAACACTCAAATCAATCTAATATAAGTCTTCATAAAATCAGGCCTTTACAGCAGTAAAATTATTGAATTTGCTCTGGTAATAACTACAATATGGTTAAACACCATCAATGTTAGTAAAAATGTTTTGTTCTAAATGCTATAATGATTAATGAATATACAATGGACAATTTTGATTAGTTCAAGTTATCTTTGGTTCTGCATTTAATCATATACAAAAAAAAATATTAACATAATATCTTGATTGCCTATCAAGACACAAACAAAATATTGGACCCAAAATGTTGTTGTTTGTTGGGAACCACTATCATACAATAAAATACACAAAATACTGAGGAAAATGAACGTATAAGGAGCTCCTATTTTGTTTTAAGTACAGTTGGGGCAAACCTTTTATTGTGTACATACAGTACACAGTCATATATATATGTACATAGTATGAGCATAATAAAATGAAAAAAAAAAAGAAAAAATAATGAAAATTAAAATATACTTCAAAGAAAAGTAAAAATCAAATATTATATTGTATATACTGCAGACGTTTTTCAAAGATTTTTTTTCCAAATTGCTTATTTAGGCTTAGTAGCTACACAACCAAAAACATAATATACTAAATCAAGGGCAATTCTGTAAAATATACCTTTCATGGAAATCATGTTGATTTCATAAATATCTGAAAATATTCAGACAAATTTATATTCTTAAAGAAATTACAAATCTCCAGATTAGCTAATACATACAGTAATCTAAATTAGACAATGTAAAAGTCAACCCAGACATGTTCAGATAGAAACGGATATATATTAGTTTTATTTCTACAGTTTAATCATATGATGTTACTTCATAGTTTTATTGATTTTTACAATATGCAGTCGGTAAGAATAACTAATCTACATTTGACTTGTACATCATGTCTGCAACTTCAAGTCTTTTTACTGAAGATAAGTAATTTGTATCCATGCAACATATAAAAAAATCCAATTTGAAACGTGTACATTATAGATATCTTAACCAATTTGAGCTTACAGACGATGCTATTTTGCTCTTGCAATATATCATTTCTGATAATGGAAATTTCACCTTTGATCACAAATACCTATTTGGATCATATTATAACCATGCACAATACCATTAGGTTCCATTGTTCTAGCTACAGTTTTATATGATAAAATACAATATATTATAATAAACTTTGAAAAATGTCTGCAGTATACATCTATATTAAATGTTCATGTGCTCTTTACAACCAAACCAAATGTTACAAGGCCCTATTAAATTTGTTCTAGTAGACTAACACAAGGCACTCTGAGAAATTTCATGTAAATTTTACGTCATAAAACAAGAAATGCATCTTTCCCTTTATATTATCAATTTAACAACAAGGCGCAAAAAAGCCAATTCTATTTCCGAAGTTAATTTCGTTTCTATTGTGTGTTCACTTAATAGTACAGACTTCAAAAAGATTAAGCTTATGTCATTTATGTATGTGTACTTTTTAATCTGTAGTTTTTCAACATTATCCATGATTTTTGTAAAAATCAATGAAATTACAAATTTTACGACATAACTTTTAGTTCAGTGGAAAAAAAAATCATTTCTATGTGACTTAAATTAACAAAAAAATATCCCAGTGCAATGGAATTAAAATGCCATTTTTCTAGAATTTATGTAGGTTTAAGATCAATTGTTTTTTCTTTAAATATTTAGAAATAAACAAAATTAAAGATTTTGAAAACTAGATTTGATCTAGTATAATCAAATAACAGAAAAATAAAGAAGGTTGTTTATATACATTAAAATGAAACAAATTGAGTATTAATGATATAACTAAACAAAAAAAATCTAAAAAAATTCATGCAACAATTTGCCATGAAATCACAACAATTGTATAATATTTGAAGAATTAAAGTCTCCATTTAATGTTTAACTTCTGAGACTTTTTGATATGGCACAAATCAACGTTGTAGTAGTTCTCTATCTTAACAAACAAAATAATAAACATAATCTTTCAGACTAAATACTTCATTAAATGCACAACTAATCAACTCTTTCATTAAATGCAATCAAGGTGCATCCGACCCCAAAATAGCACTTTTACTGAATAACATTAACAGTTTTTGTCACTTGATGTGACTGGTCAAATGGCAGTTAAAATCAACTCTATCTTTACAAGATATCTTACAGATCACACATTTAAATGGATCTGTATCATGCGAATGGAAACCATTGTGTAAGAGATACAGTGTACAATCTTCAAATATGATATGACAATGCTCACATTTATATACCTTTCCCTTCATCAATAGATAGCTAACGAGAGCTTGGTCTTCAGCATCATTCTGTTGGTCCTTGGGTAAAGTTGGTATGGAGGAGGTTGACTGAGGCATCTCCTGTTCACTGCTGGTACTACTGCTGTACCGTCTCATAGGATGACGCTGTTTCCTAGAACTGGATGATGGCATCATTCTGGTATTAAGATTTAATCTCTCAATAGAAGCTTTGGTCTGTTCGTCACTTTGGTTTTCAGCTCCATCAGGTGATTGAGAACCAGTGTCACTGGACTCACCAGAGGGAATTTGTATCTGATTCGACACATTCACCTCCATGTCCAGTTCATTGTTATGTTGTCTTTCTTCAGCATCTTCCTCATGTTCTGGCTCAGGTTCATTCTCATGGTCATTTCCTTTGTAGTGGATCATGGATGGTAGCTGAGGTTCTGGCTCCAACCTTCTGATCTGACTAGTGGTACTCACAACATCATTCCTCTCAATCAAGGGCGAGCTCATCTCAGGTGATTTCAGCTGGGAAGATAAAGCCATACTGGTGAAAAACTGCTGTCTTACTCCCAAATATTCTGCTTCTGGCAAGGAGAGCGTTGGAGCTGAGTACATGCTTAAAGGAGCAGGGAAATTTGATGCAAAAGTTGATACTGTTGGAGAACGAAAGGGCAATATGGATGAAAAAGGAGGAAGCTGTCCTTGACTGGGGTGAAACATGTGTGGTGGAGAGATGTATGAGGTTGAGTCCAGTGACGGAGGTCGTAAATCATATCCATTCTGTCGATCATCCTCTCTATCATCAAATTCATGTGGACTTCCTCCATTGGAACTAGTCATAGAGTCTTCATACATCAGTGAATCTGGTAAATTAGGATGACTTGCCATATGTTGCTGAAGTTCTTGCCATTTGGTAAATGTGGCATAACAGACATGACATCTCTGTATGGTATCAGTGAGGTGTCTTCTCTCATGCATTCTATAGCTTCCGCTTTGAGCAAATTGTCGTCCACATACTTTACAGATATAAGGCTTTTCTCCAGTATGTATTCTTTCATGAGTTCTCAGGGTGCCGATTTGTGTAAAGCTCTTGCCACAAGATCCACAAGAATAGGGTCGTTCTCCTGTATGTATCCTCTTGTGAGTGCTCAGACTGCTTTGACTAGAGAATACTTTACCACAGATCTTACATATGACAGGTGGCATCATTTCTAGTTGAAGACGATGTTGGAGAGCAGTATGATTGAGTGGTGAATGTATCATCGGTGGTCTTGAATCATATGGTTTATTTTCTTTGGGAGAAGCTGGAGACTTGGGTTGACTGGTATGTACTCTTTCATGTTTCTTCCAATTACTAGGATCACTGAATCGTTTCCCACAAACACCACAGGCAAAAGGTTTCTCCCCAGTATGTAATCTTTCATGAGCTTTGATATAACCTGCTTGAGAAAAAGTCTTACCACAGTACCGACAAGCTAACTTACTGCCACAGTTGAGATTGTTCATGTTGACTCCAAGTACTTTATCACTGTCATTATTATTAGTAGTTGGACCCAACCTCTTCATACCATTCATATCTTCATCCTTCTTCATCTCGTTCGGGGACTGTAAATTATGGGGTTCATGTCCATATGTATCTGCCATCATGTTTTCGGTTTTTAGTTATGGTCTTGTAGCGTCAGGAAAGGGTAGCAGGTGGGGAGGGAAGGCATCTGTACCTGAAATATAGAAAATATAAATTTTAGATGAAGAGAATAGAAAAACTTCTTGTCCATTCATACCGGTATTGGCCTACCCAAATAGAGTAGAAACTGTCAAGATCTGAAACCAAAATAACCAACTAGAATTAAAAGTAAAAATCTGCGGTATCAGTTTTGAGTAATTATTTGGCTAGTTACATGAGAAATTAGTACCATTCCTTGCTTTTGTAGTACAAAACAAGTCAACGATGTCAGCCTACATAGTCATCATCATTACATAAATTTCTAACAAGTCTTGTCATTTATATTAATCATAAACGCCTACTAACACTGCACACGTTACAAAACTTGGCATGTCACATCATTAGACAACTTACACGAGACAAGAAAAAAATAATTTAAACAGTTTCATTGTGAAATTCTCTTGCCATTGACCTTCCCTGTAACATTTTAGAACTCAAAACTTATATGAGGAATCATATCTAAACTATATGAAATTACAATTTTTAATTATGATGACACATAGCCAAAAGATCAAAATTCTTCATTAAGTCAGCTTTCACATTTAATTACATGGTATTCTGAACTTAATGGCAACCCAATAATCAATTCATTCAGTCAATTTTCTTTCATTTCATCACCGTGTTTCATATTTCAAATTTATATACCGGTAACAAAGGTAGAACAAATGTTAATCTAATTGGTATTCAATTTTCAGAGACTCAACAACTCCTATTATAATTAATATCAAGTGACACAATATAAAGGTACTAATTGCATCCATCATTGCAAACGCGCTAGAATATCTCCAATAACATGCACATTTTAAATGAATACACAGGATGTGTAAGATTGATGGAAAAAATAAATATATAGACCCAGAATATGTTAAAAGAATTTTTGTGAAGGGGGGACAGGATGGGGGGTGGGGGACAGGATAGGGGGAGGGAGGACTTGAAAAATTCAGACACTTAGAGTTTTGTTCCCATTGATTACAATTCATTTGATCGTTAAATATATAAGAAATAGTTTGCTTGATTTGTACAATGTTTCATAAACCTTGAAGTAGATAGCTGTAGTAGGTTACATACATTTTAGTAGGTTGCATTTTAGAACTAAATATTTGTGTCATTTGTAGACAAGGTACAAATTTTAAACCTTCAAAAAAAAAATAACTCACAAAGCATACATTGACAACACTGAAATTGATCTCACACCAAACTATCTTATATATCAAATCACTGAGTTAAGACAAAAATTGAAGTTTTACCAATAAATGTTTCTGGGTGAATCAATATTGTAAATTCCACAACTGCACAACTTAGTCCTTTTTTCTCTCAACTTTTGTTATATCAAACATTTTGTACCAAGACAGACTGTGAGAAGAAGGTCATGGCAAATCAAAAGAAAGGGTTTAGATGTGGCACAACATGTAATCTTTGATAAATATTTTATTGTCTTAGTAATCACATCGTTGTTGAACTATTGTTACTAAAATGATACATATTTACTTTCATCAATGTGTCAACACAATACACAAAATCTAGGTGTATTTGTATAATCAGTGTTATATAGCCCATCAAACATTCCAAATAAATAAATACATGTATACACTTTATTTAATGATTTAAGATTTACTCTACAAACATGGTGTATATATATCATCAAGTATAGGTTTTGTACGAGTAAACTTATTTAATAGTTTACTGATAGTAAATGTTAGGAAAATCTTTTTATGAAATACAAATTATGCCTAATAGACACTGTTATTCTAGTAAGTAACACCAATATAATTGTCGAAATATTTGCATAAGCAGCTGATACTGTACATAATTGCAGATATCTATCATTTTTCAGAATTAAAATCTGAGGTGCAGTTCTTCTGTAATTTTCCATAGATCTGAAGACTGTCCTGTCATTACTTGTCAGAACTAAAAACATTTGCAAACTTTATAATAATAATATAATATGATCAGACATTGTTTTAACCACCCATTATTTTTTTAATTCCCACTTAAAGGTTTTGTCTATAACCTTACTGAACTACTCCACTGAATAGATACCAGTATTTCTATTTAGAAATATTTATTTCTATCTTTAAATCCATTATCTTCAGGATACAAGTTGCACCTAACTTTTCTTTTCTATAAATGTTCTTGAAGATTGTTTACCTATAAAGATACTAGACATCTGATTCTATTTATGATAAAGTTAAATTAAAATGAAATTACATAAAATGGACCTTGAGGTTGTGAACCTGGTTGGGCTATACCATGCAGTGTGCAATGATGGAAATCAACTAAAATTAACTTACTCTTTCAATTTCAAGGAGATCTCAGAGTCTTGGTTTATTGTACCATTCCAACAACTAGACATGTGCCGTTTTCCATGACAGTCCTTCCAACCTGCATTACTGATAGTGAAAGCAGGTTGAAATATCTAAAGGTATTATTTCAGATAATGCTGGAATCCAACCCTGAACTTTCAGTTTAGCTAGCAACCATCTAACACACTGTGTTGTCGATGACCCCAAATTACAGATAAAAGTCAACAGTTGTCATAATACCTGCTTCTACTAGCCAATAAAACTCATGAATTTCATAATGGGAATCCATCTTTAATGTGTCTCTGAATATCTCACTTCTTTTTAAATGAAAGTGAATAACCTGCCTAGTTAATTCCAGACTATTATAGTTGGAGGCAAAGCTTTGTCAGAAGTTTTTTTAAAACATGTATTTCTCTAAAGATCTATATAATTTCTGCAAAGAATAATATCCACTCTCTTTCCTTTTTTTTATGTAAAAAGCCTAAGGATGTAAAAGTATAATTTCAAAATCTCAGTATATAAAGAGTGACTTTAAAACCATGTTAGTACTGGTACATGTACATTAATGTCTCAAATAAAAACCTATATATATGTTTCAGAGCAGCTTGACACAATCAGAAATAGAACTTATATCTCTGAGTTTTTAAAACATGTATATCATATTAAAAGATGACAGTGTCAGACTATTTTATTAGATGAGTAGAGGAGAAATTTACAAGAATTCAATTTATTCTCGACAGACAGTTTCACGATATTTAATATTGTGCATGTCAATGATGCATTTCTCAATGTCTTATTAGATTTTCAATTTATCAATTTCCAGAATATGTAGAATACTTGTCTATATATTGAATAAGTGCAATTTAAATTAATTCAGAGAGTCTTGTCTGCATGAAACATTATAATTCAGTTTTTTGTAATAACATATCTCTTCAAAAGAAAAAAATTTCTGAATATCAATGTTTATATAATGTCTTTAATTGAGCTCAAGGACACTAAATCTAATAAAACATGATGATCAAACTATGTTGGTGTCAGAGGAGTAAGGGTTGTTTTCATCAGAAAGGGAATCTGTGGCGTGTGGATACAGGGCCACACGGATGGCTGCCAAATCTGTGGCTTAGCTAAGATTTTGTTGATGTTAGAGAGTCACGGTGGAGGGTATTGGTGGCCTCTCCCTGGTAAGCTGTTGAAGTGACAGTAGAATAATTTTTGATTTTTGATGGTCCAAATGGGGGGAGGAATAATGACCCAAAATAGCACTGTCTGAATATGCCCTGAAGGAAATGTTTCTCGTATTCTCAATATCAAATAACTTCACGTAGCCATATTTGATTCATGGTGTTCTCTCTAGGTTTTATGGAATATCATGGAGATGTTGAGCATCTTGTACTTGATGGATGCTACAGAAAAAGCGTAGGCTTACTCAATGAATATATTTACATTTCTTAAAGTTAATGTTTGGGATATCTTTACAATCACAGGAGCTATCAGATAAACCTTTTCACGCTGCACATAAATCTGTAGGTTTTTGATTGCATTGTGAGATAAATTTTATGATAAATATTTGATAATTTGATAAATGCTAATATTTTCACTTATAGTTTCAAATTTGTCTATATTATATATAGAATTACAGGAAATGTTCAGCATTCTCTCACCTATTTTTACAAGCTACCTACAACATTCATCATATTATCTTCAATGTCAAACTATTACAATCTTCATACTTATATACTTATACCTTGACTACAATAGTCACCTTTCTTGCTTCATGAAATGTTGTAAATGCAGTGATTTGATTGGATTGTACGCTAGTGAATACAGACAAGTCTGTGAACACAAAGCCATAATGTATAAAGCATTTCTGTTGAGGGTTCTGATTGGTTGTAATCCCTGGCGTACAATCCAATCAAATCGCTGCTATCCATGATTCAAAAAAGGTGACAGTCAAGGTATAAGTTCGAAGTTCGTAATAGCTTGACCATGTGAAAATGTCATCATAAATAATAAATTTTCAAAATGTTCAAGAATAATATATTCAAAAATATTATTTAAGTACTGTGACTAAAATTACAGATAAAACTGTCATCATAGGCATAATAATATGTTGAGACTGTGTCAGAGTATTGTTTATTTAATATTAATAAGGTGTTGGTGTAAATTAATAAATCATTTTAAAACATGAAATATAATATTTACCTATTCATAATTAACTATTCTACATCTTTTTAATAGGCTACACAATCACTCTCACTGGTTTTCATAATCTGATATTATGGCAATCAGAGAAATAAGATTAAATGAAATCAAATTCATATCTCTTTGTTTAATATTTCAGTTGGGAGGATAGTTTTGGCAAGATTAGCCTACTCCTGTCGATGAGTTATCACTGAGTTAATGAGTACTATTAAAACTTTAAAAATAAAGCTTGATTTTAGCAGTTATGAGATTTTAAATCAAACACCTTCATTCCCTAC